CCAACTTCAAACACTGAGTGTTGAAGTGCCTTGGAGACAGAGAAGTCTTCTAGTGGTGGGATTTTGTAGGTTATGACATAGATAACTTTGGTGATGAAGCTACCTAACTGAACTTGCCAGGGCAGAAGCTAGATTTCTGCCAGTGTATCTAGCATCTATGCTGAGCCTCACTGCTCAGCCATCTTGGCTGACACAGACTGTTGTTTTGAGGATTTACTGGTTGAGGAACTCCAGGACAACCTCATACTGGATTTAAAGGAGTCTCTATGAGGTGCCTCAATTCTTGGGATGACATCTGAAAGTGAATCTGATATCCCTGCAACTAGTAACTGACTCTAAGGTAGTGCAAGTTCATGTATTACAGTTATTGTTCTGCCTCAAAGACATGGTTTGAAGATACTGAATAGTCTTCCTTACTCCACAGTCAAGAACCAGAGAGTTTGATCCGTCTCACACTAGGGGTCTGAGACCCAGTGGATAGTATCGTTAGAGACAGTATAGGTCATTGGGATGGAAAAAGCATAACGCACAACAGGATCCCCTTCCTATGGATTTTCCCTCCACCGACGGCCCTCCCAAACCTCTCTCTACAGGTGGGAAAAACAAGAAAATTTTGCAAATTAGCAAACGTAACAAATTATTCTGTCTACTTTTCTGAGAGGATGCCATATGGTTCAAAATCATTAATGCCAACAGATTTATACTGCTTTAGTGAAATCTCATTTTCCATGTCGCTACTGTTAATTATTATATTGTACTTTCATAATAAAATAGTTGATTCAAAATTATTTTAGCAATTTTCATAACCTACATAACATACATAATAGTATGGGTATGCTTTGTACTATTTCAAATAAACTAATTATGATTATAAGATAATGTCTAGGTTTATATACAGTTCGGTATATTACTTCTATTATTTGAGAAACAAGGTGGGTAAGGTAATATCTTTTATTGGACCAGCATCTGTTGGTGAGAGAGACAAGCCTTTGAGCTTATGCTGATATTTTCTTCTTCCTTTCCCAGACCCGAAGAAGAGCTCTGAGTAAGCCTGAAAGCTTGTCTCTCTCACCAACAGAGATGGGTCCAATAAAAAATATTATCTCACACAGCTTGTGTCTCTGATATCCTGTGACCAACACGGCTACAACATGGCATATTTCTTTTATTTAACACATTCACACAGAACCATATACACAAAATCACAATCAACAAACTACTTAGCTTCAGTATCTTTGATTAGTAGTAATGTGCTATTTTTGCAGCACTTATTTATACTATTTTCCATTCTGAATACATGAAGATTATATAGAGATAAAAAATAAAGGATTAATATATTACTTCAGAGTTCACACCTTCCACTACATTTGTTAGGATAATACATGAAGGTTGTATTGTCTGTAGCTACTTATATCACTCTGTGGCAGACTTATGGTAGAAAGAACCGGAGAGCCCAATGAATTGCTCTTAACTTGAGAATACAGAGGTGTAACTTTTATTTCTGCTGTTATTTAGATACCCCCACCCACACACACATATACATCTGAAATTGGAGATTTGCTGTGGTTATCAGCATGGGAGGACTGAAAGACTTCTTTCTTTACACTGCTGGAATGGGAAGCTGGGAATGGGCGACAGGGGATGGATCACTTGGTGACCTGTTCTATTCATTGCCTCTGGGGCACCTAGCATTGGCCACGGTTGGAAGACAGGATACTGGACTAGAGGGACCTTTGGTCTGACGCAGTATGGCTGTTCTTGTGGGACCACCAAATTACAGACAGGAATTCCCTTTCTTGAATGCCCAGAGCCCTTCCATATTGTCTATGCTGGGCCTGAAATTTTCCAGTACTCAGTGTTGCAAATGCCTCATTCATAAAAGATCCAAGGAAGTCATACTCGTTTAGGCTGTAAGCCCCAATAACCATAGAATGAAAACAACAGTTTGTTTAGATGTATAGGTGATCTTATCTTTAAGAATCTGTCATAGATTGCTTTGCCCAGTGTTGATTCTATTATGGCTCCTAAGAGCATTCTATTATGGAATCCTATGAATGGTGGAACTTTAACTAGCAGTGCCTGCTGAAGTGCTCATGGGCCCCTCCTAGCCCTCTCCTCAGTGTGAGCACTCCCACAGCTAGTTCAAATTCTTCCATCTAAGCTATGCCCAGTTGGAGCATCCCCGGAGTATAAATACGTGGAGGCCACTCAAAGAAGAATGAAGTATTTTATGTCAGTATGCAAAGACACGTCTTAAAGAGACAATATGGGTCTAGTGCAGGGGACCCTTAACATTTTGCATGCTGTGATCTCATGTTGCAATAGAAATGGGTTTCAAGCTATACACCCTATAACTATCCATAAGGACAGAGAGGGTAGTTACAACCCCCTGAAAGCTGTTCATGATCTCCAGGTTGAGGACCCATAATCTCGTGAACTGAGTGAGGATTGGAAACCAGGAATATCTGAATTCTACTTGCAGCCATGAGAATAAGCCATCCAGCCTTGTTTAAATTACTTAGCTTCTGTTTCTCTCGATTTCTCCATCTGTAAAATTGGGACCCTCAGTACACTATATCTACTTTCCTTATAAGTGACCTGGGAGAATTAGTTAGTTAATGAAGTCATAAAATGTTACTGTTATTGCAGGTGAATTGAAAACCTTTAAAAATAAAGATGTTTGAAATCCAAATCATTAAATGTGATGACAGATTTCAAGTTTATAGATAAATGCATTTAAAAGAAAATACATGAAAAAAATCCTTTCCTCTTTCACTTACTTACCAAAAGTGAGAATTCCTCTTTCACTTACTTATTAAAATCCAAGTTTATTGTTTGTCCTGCAATGTGTGATGACATAACTACTATGGAAAGTAGGTAGTGACTTTAGGACCCTGTACTATATTACTATTTTAAAATATATTTTTAACTATTACTGGAAAACATGGACTCGGGCCTTTGCAGTTAAAAAGTCTTTCAAGTTACCTTTCAGGTACAAATAGCAAACATGTAACAAAAAATGCTAAAGATTTTACTTTTTGTGCAAAGGGGAGCAATAAACAACAACAAAAGAAATAGTCCCAAAGAAAATAAATAAGCTTTTTTCTATTTACTATTGGATTCATAAAAGTCACTACAAAATTCTGCTTTTGGGTTGCTTAACACTGGATGTATACTCAGCTAAGTCTTTGTGAGGCCTGTCATAGAATCATAGAATCATAGAATATCAGGGTTGCGAGGGACCCCTGAAGGTCATCTAGTCCAACCCCCCTGCTCGAAGCAGGACCAATTCCCAGTTAAATCATCCCAGCCAGGGCTTTGTCAAGCCTGACCTTAAAAACCTCTAAGGAAGGAGATTCTACCACCTCCCTAGGTAACGCATTCCAGTGTTTCACCAGCCTCTTAGTGAAAAAGTTTTTCCTAATATCCAATCTAAACCTCCCCCACTGCAACTTGAGACCATTACTCCTCGTTCTGTCATCTGCTACCATTGAGAACAGTCTAGAGCCATCCTCTTTGGAACCCCCTTTCAGGTAGTTGAAAGCAGCTATCAAATCCCCCCCTCATTCTTCTCTTCTGCAGGCTAAACAATCCCAGTTCCCTCAGCCTCTCCTCATAAGTCATGTGTTCTAGACCCCTAATAATTTTTGTTGCCCTTCGCTGGACTCTCTCCAATTTATCCACATCCTTCTTGTAGTGTGGGGCCCAAAACTGGACACAGTACTCCAGATGAGGCCTCACTAGAGGGGAACGATCACATCCCTCGATCTGCTGGCTATGCCCCTACTTATACATCCCAAAATGCCATTGGCCTTCTTGGCAACAAGGGCACACTGCTGACTCATATCCAGCTTCTCGTCCACTGTCACCCCTAGGTCCTTTTCCGCAGAACTGCTGCCTAGCCATTCGGTCCCTAGTCTGAGCGGTGCATTGGATTCTTCCATCCTAAGTGCAGAACCCTGCACTTATCCTTATTGAACCTCATCAGATTTCTTTTGGCCCAATCCTCCAATTTGTCTAGGTCCTTCTGTATCCTATCCCTCCCCTCCAGCGTATCTACCACTCCTCCCAGTTTAGTATCATCCGCAAATTTGCTGAGAGTGCAATCCACACCATCCACCAGATCATTTATGAAGATATTGAACAAAACCGGCCCCAGGACCGACCCTTGGGGCACTCCACTTGATACCGGCTGCCAACTAGACATGGAGCCATTGATCACTACCTGTTGAGCCCGACAATCTAGCCAGCTTTCTACCCACCTTATAGTGCATTCATCCAGCCCATACTTCCTTAACTTGCTGACAAGAATACTGTGGGAGACCGTGTCAAAAGCTTTGCTAAAGTCAAGAAACAATACATCCACTGCTTTCCCTTCATCCCCAGAACCAGTAATCTCATCATAAAAGGCGATTAGATTAGTCAGGCATGACCTTCCCTTGGTGAATCCATGCTGTCTTACGCTGGACTGTTCCATCAGTACTCCTGTGATTGCTGATACAAATATCTGTTTATTTTATACAATGTAACCTAGTTAAACTACTCAGATGTTTATCGCAGTTATTAGATTTTTTTATTTACCAGCATTTAGTTTAATACAATAGGCAAAAAATATGTAGAAGAAATTCATAGGCACTGGGTAATTCTGCAATAAGAATTAAAAAGAGAAGCCACTAGTGTTTCAGGGGAGTCATTTGTTTTACAACTGCTGTCCATAAAGCAGATGCTTCAAGAGATTTCACAGGTAAAATAAAGCTATTCTATCAGATGATTACTTTGAAATAATGACACAGGACATATTCAAGATCATTGCAACTTCCCCATTACAATTTATGGTAAGAGAATAAAAATAAATTTAAAAAATTGGGAAAAGTCTTCTTGAGCAAGAAAGTTATAAAGATACTGGTGTTAGAAATATGAGATTTTAATAAAGCAATGTCACTACTTTTAAACAAAAAGCTTCTGACTGCACTCCTTTGTTTGACTGTTGTCAGACTCACCACAGTTTGCTTCATCTGATCCATCAGCACAGTCCGGGTCCTCATCACATACCCACAGTTTAGAAATACAGTGTTTTGTAGTTTTACACTGGAAATGGTCTGGAGAACAGCTGTTTTCCGCTTTAAAGAAAGGGAGTTATTTTTAAAGCTAAATATTTTTGCCAAGACTCAAAACATTTTTTGTTAAAATAAATAACCCCAAATGTTAAAAACAGGCTCTCCATGAGTTCTATAGTGTTTTTCAGTGATATCTCCAAGAAAATAGCAATCTGTTTTAATGCATTCTATTGTTATTTAATCCATTTGATTATTAACATTGTCCAAATGAATTTAGAGTCACAATAGTGTTCCATTGATTACAAACAAGAACATTTTCAACATTAGTTAAATTCGATAGACCAAATGCTAACAATATTCTGGTTAAAAGGCCCATCACTCTCTTCTGGGCACTACCTTCAACAGTGTGAGCAATGCACTGTGGGTAAAGAGACTTTGAGAGGAAAATTGGCAAAGAGGAAGTGAAAGATGGACATCTGATGACTGAAACAAAGGGGAAGGAGCAAGCTTCACCATCCTGGTTGCCATCCTCACCATATCCTGGAACCAAGAGATGCATTGTAACATCATTGAGCTTTTGTCATCTTGTTTCCAAGACATGTCCTGACTGGACCAGGCCAAAGAACCGGCCCAGATGACATCTCCACCTTCACTGGTTCCAGGTATATCCCAGCCACTACATGGGATATGAGACTTTGTCATGTTCCCTTCCTCTCCCTTTTCATTCTTTTCAATCGCCTACCTTATTTCTTCTCTTTCCTATCCCTTTCCTTTTTCCTTCTGTCTAATAAGAATCTGGTTAAGCTGGCCAAGTCTGCATGTTTTGCAACACAAACCCTGTGACCAGAAAGAGACAGCTATATGCAATATCATGCTACAATTTTGCCAGGTCTTGGAGTGGTGATAAGACTGTGTTCTGTGGCTGAGTTTTGCAGCAGCAAGGTTACAAGTTAAAACCAGTGACAGCTGCAGTTTCTATTTTTGCTGTTCTTTCCCCTTTTGTATATTATTTGTTGTGTTTTGCCTTCTAGAAAATGGGATCGGATTTTAAACAACAGCAACAGCAGTTGCAACCCAACCGAACTAACTTCTCTTTTCCTCCAAAGGACAGTAATTACCATCTTAATACCAACTAAGAGACTGTCTTAGGAAGGGGTTTTTTTTCCTTCTAAAGACTCTCTGCAACTAAAGGGAAAGGGAACAAGGGATGCTGTTAAAATGCAAGCCTTATTAAATACTTTACATTTCAAATGCTTTAATGGCTTTTCCCTTTTTAATAAAATGTAATATTTTTCAGTATGTGTTTCCCATGGTACTAAGCAGGCTGAGGTTTGCATTGCAAATCCCAACAATGTTTAAAACTGTTTAATGTTGGACAGATTCTGGCTCATGTTAATACCTTTGACTCTTTGGGCCCCTTTATTAAATCTAAATGTACAAGAAGTCCTCGGATTTACGATTCCCAATGCCACTTACTACACTTTTCAATGGACTGCTCATTTAGCCCTTACGATGCTTGTTTCGCCCTTAGGATGCTCGATTTGCATAAAGTTCTCTTGAAATCATTTCCTGGTTGCGTTATACAGTACTGGTATGGACCTGGAAGGGGTCCCTTCTGATTGGCTTCGAGGCAGCAGGGTAGTTTGTTGTTGGGTAGGGTTGCTGCTTGTTTTTGATTGGCTACCAGCCCCAGGCTCAGCCAATCAGAAAGCTTGAACAGTGATTGGCTGAGGCTCAGCATGTGTGCCATTCTCCCTGGCTTTCTGAGCCTGTGTTGCTGGCAGTCTGAGCGGCATATGTGAGTTTATATGTTTATCTGAATGCTCTTTACAAAATACAATAAATACATTAAAAGAAAAGGAGTACTTGTGGCACCTCAGAGACTAACCAATTTATTTGAGCGTAAGCTTTCCTGAGCTACAGCTCACTTCATCGGATGCATAAAAGTGTAAAATGCAGTGAGGATGTTTTTATACACACAGACCATGAAAAAATGGGTGTTTATCACTTCAAAAGGTTTTCTCTCCCCCCACCCCACTCTCCAGCTGGCAATAGCTTATCCAAAGTGATCACTCTCCTTACAATGTGTATGATAATCAAGGTGGGCCATTTCCAGCACAAATCCAGGGTTTAACAAGAACGTCTGAGGAATGGTGGTGGAGGGGGGAGGAGGTGGTAGGAAAAAACAAGGGGAAATAGGTTACCTTGCACAATGACTTAGCCACTCCCAGTCTCTATTCAAGCCTAAGTTAATTGTATCCAATCTGCAAATGAATTCCAATTCAGCAGTTTCTCGCTGGAGTCTGGTTTTGAAGTTTTTCTGTTGTAATATTGCAACTTTCATGTCTGTAATCGCGTGACCAGAGAGATTGAAATGTTCTCCGACTGGTTTATGAATGTTATAATTCTTGACATCTGATTTGTGTCCATTTATTCTTTTACGTAGAGACTGTCCAGTTTCACCAATGTACATGGCAGAGGGGCATTGCTTGCACATGATGGCATGTAACCTATTTCCCCTTGTTTTTTCCTACCCCCTTCCCTCCCCGCTGTTCCTCAGACGTTCTTGTTAAACCCTCAATTTGAGCTGGAAATGGCCCACCTTGATTATCATACACATTGTAAGGAGAGTGATCACTTTAGATAAGCTATTGCCAGCAGGAGAGTGGGGTGGGGGGAGAAAATCTTTTGAAGTGATAAACACCCATTTTTTCATGGTCTGTGTGCATAAAAACATCCTCACTGCATTTTCCACTTTTATGCATCCGATGAAGTGAGCTGTAGCTCACAAAAGCTTATGCTCAAATAAATTGGTTAGTCTCTAAGGTGCCACAAGTACTCCTTTTCTTTTTGCGAATACAGACTAACACGGCTGCTACTCTGAAACCAATAAATACATTGATGTTGCAACATTAGTCATCTATAATTCATACAGTACAAAAGTCTGGGTTATTGTGGTGAAAATAGTGTATCAAGCCTTAGTTCAGGAACCAAGCTCCCCTTCATACCATTGATTCCTATGGGAAAAGCTGTTTTGGCTTTCAACATTTCGACTTACAACGCAATTCTAAGGAATTGTGTCATAAGTCCGAGGACTCCCTGTAAACAACAGTGTCCAGTGCCACCAAAATCCTTCTGCTCTGTCTTCAATGTTTTGAAGAAAAGTAGTGAATTGAAGAACCAGACTGAAAACTACTTCACAATGTCAACATAATCGTCCAGGTAACAGAAGATTTTGCTGTAAAGAATTGCTGCCAATTTTCCCTGGTTCCTGAAAGCTGCTTTGTATGGGTGTCTTTAGTTTCCAAGATTTCCAACTTGGCAACTAAACCTGGTTGTTAGTGCACTCATGGGTTTTCCTTTTAAATCCTTACAAAAAGTGCTAGAAAAGTTCCTCACATGAGAGATGGCATGTGATTATTTTCTGCACAGCCAGGAGTATGAAAAAAGTAATGCCCCTTTCCTGTAGGGATCCTATCCCTAGTTATTCACCAATCAAAAAGTAATTTTCTTCCCTCACATCCTTCCTAATGTGTGTGTATATATATATATATCACTAGCTCAGGAGACTTCCTTCATAAATCTCCTTAGAAAGTTTAAAAAAAAAAAAAGACTGGCCACGAACATCGACTTATTTGGCAATATTATGGCCTATGGCAAATTAGTAGAAAAGAAAATGACCTTCAGTGTGGATATGCTAACAAATGTTAGTCAAACCATGTAGCTTTAACTGGATTTCCCATCAGCTGTAGAGTTCTCATAGCCAGGTTCTAAGCCACCTGCCCTTTGGCCCACAGCACAGTGGGCATGTCATGAACAGAAAGGGGTGGGAGGAGTTATATCTGGATTGCTTTGCAAACTGCTTAGTCTCTTGGAGTCAGTTACCATATGGCACAATCTAAGCACATTCTAGGTTGTGCTAATCTGCACTGGACCTGGGATGATAATTATGGAGCTGTAAACAGCTCCCTGGTGCTCCCCTCCCCCTTCTCTGCCCCCCCAATCTGCCAGGCATAAATTCAGCACAGCAAAGAATCTGATCCCATATTTCAGAAAACAAACAAATGTTCTTGGCAATGTTACAAATAAATCCTAAATTATTAAAACTAAACAAAGATTTATCATCTAATTTGCTTTTCATTATTTATACTATTGTTGACTTTTTGCACGTAGCTCAGCTTGGGCAAAGAAAATTTTCGGGTTTGTTTATATTTAGTTTCTAGTCATTTTCAGTTTCAGGTTTTCACACATTAGCACGATGTTATAGTGTTTGAGGTGGAAAATCATGCAGTCATGCCTATGTAGTAAGAGTACTTATAATAATAATACCTTGCTCTTATATAGAACTTTTCATCACTGGATCTCAAAGCATTTCATTACAAAGGCCGTATTATCCCCATTTTACATGTCGGTAAACTGAGGCACAGTGAACTGAAGTAACTTGCCCAAGATTCCCCAGCAACCACTGGCAGAGACAGAAATAGAAGCCAGGTGTCCTGAGTCCTAGTCCAGTGTTCTAGTCACTAGGCCACACTGCCTAGTGTAGTAAGTCATACCAGTATTGTAAAAGTAATTGCGACACAGAATCTGGACCACTACCCAAAATCATGACTTGTGGACTTCATTTAACAAGAGGCCTGACTGAAACAACATAAAACAGGCAATGTGGTTACTGAAAAGCAGTAACTCAGCTCCCTTAGGCTTCCGAAAGGTGGCTATTAATCATCAATATTCAAGGGTCTTTGTATCTTCAGTGGCCCTTTTCTAAAGAATGCATGGAGTCTCCAAGCCATTGTGTATGTGAAGCTGGAGAAAACCAATTTACAAATGGGGTAGCTGCCCTGGATCAGTGAGGGCTTGAATAACAGGCTGAGTGAGTGACGGAGTCATCTGTCTCTCTAGATGGCAGTATGGTGCTGATAGGCAGACCGGAAACATCAGAGATTATATTTACAAGATGTAAACTCTTCAATGTTTCCCGCTCTGTAACTAAGCTGAAAATACCTTATCTAGTTTATCTTATGAGAAATCTCAATGTAGGTATTTTAGCTTAAATGAATTCTTTTAATTCCATTTTCTCTGTTTTGATTTTTTTATTAAAATTAATGTCATATGGTAAATTTGCAGAGACCTCCCGTAAAAGAGAAGTCCATAACCTCCATAAGTGCTGTAGGATAAAGAGCTGGAGAACCTATACCCTCTCTCAGTTAAGGAGCAGGAACAAAGGTATCCTCTCCCACTAAAATGTGCTGCCTTCAGGCCCTTGCAGAAAGTCACATGAGGAATGCTAAAAGACCAAGGAGGAGACAAGAGATGGTGGTGGGAGTGGTCAGAGTAATATATACAGTTTAACTCAAATAAGAGACCCATATAATTTTCTAAAAATGAATTCTCTCTTTTTTCTCAGTGTCATAGTTACAAAAAAATGAAGTCAATGACAGAAGTATTTGATTTCTGTACACAGAATATCTCAAGTACTGTATGTCAAATAGTCCAAAAGATTAACTGATTTTCATTGGGCATACAGTGATTTTACATATATCTTTTAAACTCTATGTTGAAAACTATCCATCAGTGTGCAATACAAAACTCTCTAAAGATAACTTACGACAGTCTCTTTCATCTTCTTCATCACCACAGTCATCCTGTCCATTGCACCTTAGATTTATTGGAATACATTTCTGATTCTTTGTACACTTGAACTGACCTGACAGGCAGACATGTGTGTCTGGAAGATAGGTTAAAAAAAATTCCAGATGAGTTTCTCATTAGAATTTAAATCATCTTAGCTAAAGATCTTAGTCAGTTTTTGAATTCTGTGCTACACATAATCACTTACCACAGTTGAGTTCATCAGAATTGTCCCCACAATCATTTTCTCCATCACAGATAAAGGCTGGCAGAGCACAAAGTCCAGTTCCACACTGAAAACGTCCTGGCTGACATTTAAATTCAGCTGAAAAAACAAAACAAAAACCAAATCTTGCACAGTTGCATACAGAGTTTATAAAACTTATAAACAACGCTTTTCTGCTATTCAAAATGTAAATTGAATTACTTTAAACTATGTATGAACCCCAGTGTGTACGTGTACATGTCAGACAGAAGTTTCATGGATTTTCCCTTTCTGAATAAACTGATCAAATATATGGAATGATTCAAGCCCCACTGAAGTTAGTGCAAAGACTCCCATTGATTTCAATGGCATTTGGATTGGCCCACAATGAGAAAATGTCATGAAATCATTTGGATGTTTTTATATCTATTTCTTTATATTAAAAATATATATCTTTAACCTATAACAGAGGTTAAAAAAATCTCTTTAAGTACAGAAAAATTACCAGCTCTATCCCAGGGATGGTAATGTGCCAATTATATTATTACTCTTCAATGGACTAATTGAATATATTTATAAGTTATTAAATTAGGATATACAGACTCAACCAGAGTATTCTGTAGTTACTAAACCATAACTGAACACACATTTTTCAATTATAAGATCGTAGTACTAAGGCTGAGGAGGGTCTCATTTACATGATGACTGCACAATTATTTCTCAGTAATGATACAGCATTGCAAAAGTAAAGTAATTATCTAATCTTGCAACCATGTCTATTACTATTTATTTGTAAGCATCAGTGTGCTAAGCGATGTACAAAACAGAAAGGAATACACAGTCCCAGCTCTGTGGATTTTTTAATCTGAACAGAAAACACAAGGACCCACTGGGACACCAAGAGGATGATGCTATCTTAAGTGGATGATTATCGTTTCTATTTGTAAAAAGAAAAGGAGTACTTGTGGCACATTAGAGACTAACAAATTTATTTGAGCATAAGCTTTTGTGAATTACTGCTCAGTTCATCGGATGCATTCAGTGGAAAATACAGTGGGGAGATTTATATACATAGAGAACATGAAACAATGGGTGTTACCATACACACTGTAACCAGAGTGATCACTTAAGGTGAGCTATTACCAGCAGGAGAGCCGGGGAATGGGGGGGGGAACCTTTTGTAGTGATAATCAAGGTGGGCCATTTCCAGCAGTTGACAAGAACGTCTGAGGAACAGTGCGGGAGGTGGAAGGGGAAATAAACATGGGGAAATAATTTTACTTTGTGTAATGACCCATCCACTCCCAGTCTCTATTCAAGCCTAAGTTAATTGTATCCAGTTTGCAAATTAATTCCAATTCAGCAGTCTCTCTTTGGAGTCTGTTTTTTGAATTTTTTTTTGTTGAAGTATTGCCACTTTTAGGTCTGTAATCGAGTGTCCAGAGAGATTGAAGTGTTCTCCAACTGGTTTTTGAATGTTATAATTCTTGACGTCTGATTTGTGTCCATTTATTCTTTTACGTAGAGATTGTCCAGTTTGACCAATGTACATGGCAGAGGGGCATTGCTGGCACATGATGGCATATATCACATTGGTAGATGTGCAGGTGAACGAGCCTCTGATATTGTGGCTGATGTGATTAGCATTTATGTGCCTTAGGGAAGAAGTCAGCTTTCAATGGGGATTTGAATAAAGAAAGGGTGGAGACCAAGAGCAATGATTTTGGAAGGGATTCCAGAAGGCAGAAGGGAAGTTGATATGGAAACAAGATGAAGAAGAAAGTAAATTGGTGAAAGACAACTTTGTAAGGGTGCCAGGTTGAGATAAGAAACAGCAGAGATGCAGATGTGGAAGTCCCTGTGCAAACCTTTGAAAGGGAAAGTTTGATTTTGATGTGGAAAGAGACAGAAACTTCCTATTGAGGAGGTTACAACAGTCCATAGTGCCTCTGTCAGTTGTTTTCTTTTTCAGTAAAAGTTAAAAAGTACTGAAGTGTACTAAACATGTATCCCTAACTCTGGTTCCTAAACAGAATAGGTTATACAAGCTATCAGCTGCCTGGGGATTCCCCGATGCTGGAGGAATCCTCAGAGAGCTGGTTAAATTATAACAGGGATTCACCTGGGAGACCAAGATTTGTCTGAAGCTATAAATGTATATGCAGTAGATAAACCATCTGTGCTGACAAGTTGCCAAATGGCTGTGACAAAACATCTTGCTAAAAGGATTAATGCCTGTCCTCTCTAGACAATGAGAGAATCTGGAGTTATTACTATTGAAGGGATTATTATATAAATCTGAGATTCCTTGAGTTCTGGGTTTGACCAAAGCCCAAGAAATGGTACATAAATATATAATCTGGTGAAGGAAAATATGACCAACTAGAGATTGGTCAAGAAAGATTTGTAACAAACCCAAGAAATACTTGTAACAAATCTTACCGTGAATTTATTGCAGAATAATTTCCTTAACTGCAAGTGCTTTCTCAACTCTTAGCCCAGAACAGAAATGAGATAAGACTTGTGCAAGAAAAACCAATGTTACTATCCCTGCTAAAGTAGGTAAAGTATGCCCATTCTTACATTCTGATATAGAAATAAAATGAAAAGGAGTACTTGTGGCAACTTAGAGACTAACAAATTTATTTGAGCGTAAGCTTTCGTGAGCTACAGCTCACTTCATCAGATGCATACCGTGGAAAATACAGTGGGGAGATTTATATACATAGAGAACATGAAACAATGGGTGTTACCATACAAGATGAGGGTATGCAATCGGTGCAAACTGAATAGTCCCATTAAGAATTTACATATTAGTGTTTTGTCAGTGTTGGAAGGCTTTAAGACTGAATCCTTACATCCACAAATTGATCCTCAATAATGTGAGAGTCAGAAAAATTGATCTACTTTTTAACATATGGATGAGACACTCCACAGGTGACAAGGCAATACTCCAGTTCTCCCAACATGGAGATTTCCAAGCTGATCAAAAACATGGATATTGTGTTCCACAATGGAATGACCTGCACTTCTCTCTGTAAAGTGTATAATCAAACAGTTCTAAATCAGATTAAGATTTTGTTCAAATCAGAAATGAGTCAGTTATCACCATAATTTGCATAAAATATGGAATGGTAAAGACCCTGCTGATGTGTCATTTTCTCTTCAAGCTTTCCCCCCCCCCCCAAAGGTAAGCCAAAGTTCAGACCTTCTGACCAACAAGGAATAAACATTCAGCCCAAAATGTGCCACAGAGAGTATGAAGTGTTTGTGCCATGTATCGTATCTGCAACAAGTAGACACTATTCAAGAACACCAAACTCAGACTGGTTGTTTTCTGATAAAGGTAGCTGTCCTGACAGTTGATGCCTATTCTGTTCTTTATACAGATTCTTTCAGGGCTATCATTTCCATCACCTGTCTACAAATCTTTTGGAATCTATCAGCTTCCAACGACCAAGATCCAGAACTCTGAGTTGTGATAATACTCCAGCAGTTGCTCAGATTGTCTACAACTGAGACTTACTGTGCTGTCAGACATATGCCTCCCAAGAATGTCCTGGGGAATATATTCAACAAAAACCAGCATGGCATCCCAGGAAAACAGGAATTGTCTTCTCCTGTTTATGTGTAAAGTGGACACCCAAATGATAGAAATGTTCATGATCTAAACTATTTTATTTTGAAGATTTCAAAGGCATATTAGTCCTCAGAAAATTCAAGGCCATCTCTATCTCACATATAATAGCTGTGTTTGCTGCCACAGAGACCAGACTATTGGGAGTGACAGGCAGGAAGCCTTCATATTAAACGCAAAAAAGGAGGAAAGGAACCTCACAGTCATGTCCTTGAGAGACTGTTCACTGAGTAACCTGAGTTACTGAGGTACCACAATCATCTTTCCTCTCAATGTGAACTTGTAATTTCCAATTTAAGGAGACGTAAGTGTGTTAGCTCTGACTGAGCACACTAAAAATTATAGCGTAGCAACAATATAGCATAGCCGCTCAAGCACGTACCCATTCAAGATGCTAGGTACATACTTGGGTGGGTAGCCCTTCCTGCCACTACTACCACAGTGACTACATTTCAATTTTTAGCCTGCTAGCTCATTCAGAGGTAGCATAGGTATGTCATCCTTGAGCTGGGAATTACACTTTCAGCTTGAAACGTAGATGTCCCCACAGTTAAGGGAAGCCTACCTCACTGAGTTTTGCAAAGTATTGAGATGAGGTATGTTATGCAAACCATTTATTTTGCTTTACTTCCATTTTCTCTCTATTTTTTATAAATCTGTAGACAACACAAAATGCTTCAAGCTATAAAGAGAGGTGATAAGGGGTAAAAAGTTTCTGGAGCCTCACTCTTGGTCTTGATCATATGTGGCACACAGAGTTATGGCCTATCCTCTTAAAATACATTGCAAAGAGGAGTAGCAGGAGACAAAGAGAAGAAGCCTGATGACCAAGGAGATGCACATTGGCAGTTGGGGCAAGTGACGAATACTTATCCCTTCTATAGCACCTTTCAACAAAGAATTTCAAAACACTTTACAAACATCCGGGCCTTTATCTGAAACCCATTGAATACAAAGGAAAGACTCCCATTGACTTCAGTGGGCTTTGACATAAATGATTAAAACCTCCTAAACCCATGATATAACAATATTTATTGATTCCCATTTCACAGCTGGGGAAATAGTTACAGACTATTTAAATGGCTTCCCTGAGAGTAACTGGCAGAACCACAAGTATAACCCAGGGTCCTGAGTCTCAATTATTTTCCCAAAATGATCACTCACTCTGATGGCTTTATATTATTTTATTATTATTATTATTAGCTTGAGGTACTAAACAAATAAGAGGAAATTAGTCCTCTTTTTGGGATGACAATATCATGGGATTGTTTAAATGGATAGTCTTATATATCTTAATGTTCATTTAATGTTCATTTACAGAATTTTTTGGCTTTAAGAATTTCAGGTATAGTATTAGTATTTCCACCCCAAAATCTCTTCTTTTTTCCTAATATCACTATAAAATAGTGTCTTTTGTCTAGTATGTTATATATAGTTACCTCATGTGGAGAGAGGAGTACAGTATTTTTTATTTTGCTATGTCATTATTCTTTTGTATGTTTAAAATTTTATGTACTAACTTATTTTTATTTTCCTTTTTCCCCTTGATACCTTTTACCTGAGATATTTCTTTTTGGGGACTTTAATTAATGAACAAACTGTATTCAGTGAAATGATTTTTTTAAAATAGTTTCTGAAATTTAAGATTAATTAATATTTAAGATTATATTTTAATGATACACTTAACAAGAGTAAACTAAAAATCAATCTGGTATTATATAAAAAATTAGTGTAAATGGAACAGGGTATAATAAAATATTTTTTGAAACCTTTGCACTTAAATTAAGGGTACTGAAACTCCTCTAGTTTTGTTCACACTTTGCACATTGTAAAGCTTAAATTGTAAAGTTTTACATGTTACTGAGGATGAAACTATTGCATGTGATTTACTACAATGTCCATGTGGTAAACAGACAAGTTGGTAAGGAGCAGAGTTCTAGGTAGAGAAATGAAGTAAAGTAACTTATAAAAAGTGACAGGTTTCAGAGTAGCAGCCGTGTTAGTCTGTATCCGCAAAAAGAAAAGGAGTACTTGTGGCACCTTAGAGACTAACAAATTTATTTGAGCATAAGCTTTCGTGAGCTACAGCTCACTTCATCGGATGCTGTAGCTCACAAAAGCTTATGCTCAAATAAATTTGTTAGTCTCTAAGGTGCCACAAGTCCTCCTTTTCTTTTTCTCAAAAGTGAAAAGATCAAGTATTTTTCTATTGTTGAACTTGTGACAATGAAAAAGGTATCATAACAAAAGATTTAGAAGCATATGAGAATTTCTTGTTGTTATTCTGATTCAACATATTTCTTTGTTAAGATGTGGATTACAAATTTTAGTGCACAAGATTAAAATGAAATGACTGTGAATTAGAATTAAAGAGAAATGCAGCGGGGTGAACATTTTTCGTTGTGAGTACAAATTTCAAGATACAATTAGGGTTGCCAGTTTGGGTGGGATGTATTCCTGGAGGATTCATCACTTGACATAATCTTTAATTAAACATTTATCTTTAATTCTTGGAGACTCCAGGACAATCCTGGAGAGTTGGCACCATAGGTAAAATGCACTCATGATCTTTTGATTTTTGGAGATACAGTAAATCACATAAGTGGTTAGTGATTGAGGATGAAAGGTAGCATCATCCTCTAGACATTAAAATATAGTAAACCAATGCAGGAGAAACAGCGTTTTCCAATACCTAAGACAACTTGCATTCCGCTGTCATGGAAAAACCATGACAGCTTTTCTCTGGGATGCTGAGAACATCATCATGATTGACTTTAAGCTATCTAAAACTTGACAGGGGGAATATTACAGTGGCTACTGTATGAAGTATGAGAGACTATCAAGAAGAAATCTGCTGATTCTGCACTACTACCAGCACAGTGTGCCACAGTTACATAAGATGATTAGAAATAATGCATCTCACAGAATCATTTGTACCTGAATTGTAAGTTCTAATCCCCAAAACATCCTTTTGCATTATTTGTTAAAACAGGAAACTCTGTGTGAAATGTATCCAGAATTGTAGCAAGAGTCACTTAGAGAAAAGTTGAACAAATGTCACTATTCGGCTTTAAAAATCCAACTTGAACACAGTTTTTCAAGAAACTAAGAAAAAGTTAAACTATGATTTTGGAGCAATTTAAGATTTGAAAATATGTATTATAACTTCTTGCAGTTTGTTAAGGATTTTCAAATGACACTTAGCAGTGATCATCTTATTTAACTTTCTAACTTTTGCATTACAGTATCTTATACAAGAACATCATGGAAAAAGAAGTTGGATTTAGAATTCAGAATGTACTTACGACATTCTTCAGGTTCATCTGATCCATCCCCACAGTCATCTACAGTGTCACATTTCCACCAGAATGGAATACATTTATCAGTTTTGCAACGGAACTGTAGTAAGAAATGGAGGGAAAAAGTCTTAAAATATGAATATTTTTCATGCAAACAAAATAATTTATGAGAAATTAGACTCATAGCTCAAAACTTACACCTACTGTTTCCCTAATGTGCATCTACAGTTGATTTTGTACAAGATACTGTTTGAGGAGCGTTGGCCTAGATCTTCAGCTGGTGTAAATCAGTGTAGCTCCAATGATAGTAAAGCTATCCCATTTTACAACAGCTCAGGATTTGGTCCTTCAATTTTAATTCAAAATAGAAATTTACATTCCTTAAAGAACTGTTATTGGGTCTCTTGAAGCAGATATTTAACAACATTCTTTCAGAATGAATCTGTGTAACAGCAGATATTTTGAAGTTGCTTAATAATTCAACTGAATATACAGTTTTGTTTTTATACCATCACTTTTATGTAAGTTGAATCAAATCAATGGAACAACAACCTAATTCTCCTGATTCCTCAAAAGGCAAAAAATCTGTTAAGTAAGCTCCTTCATAAGGCCCAATATTGCCCCAAATCTCAATTAGAAGCTCTGCTGTTCCTTCACTATCGCTGAGAGAAGAATGCTTCTAGGAGTTAATCTGAAACCACCAATTCTTTTTGCCAATAACATCAAGTGGTAAAGTCTAGGTAGTTTAAGAATACTGGTAATCTATTTTAGTTTTTCTATGTCTATGCTTATCCCTGGTTATTTACGTGCTGCACAAAAGTAAGGAGTACAAAAGCCCAGAAACAGAACATGTTTTACTTTGTAAATTCCATCAGGGGAGAGGAGTGTGACTGAGTATATATTTTCTGTTTGTTTGTTTTGTTCAAAGAGCATTGATCCTTAAGGACGTTTTCTTAAAAGGTTTGTTTTTCACCTTAATCTGAATACCATTAAATCAGAGCTCAGTCTAATTTTTTCTTCCAGGGACTTCCACAGGCATGATATTGCTGTCAATTATGCTTTGTGATCTGTAGTTAGAACTGAGGTATAAATGCTGAATTATTATTGTGGAGGATAGCTGGGAATCGCTGAAGATAAGGTTGGTCCTGTGAAGTAGCCAGGTCCCAAACACTTAAGTGGCCTTGTAGAAAAGGACTTTCAAGTTCTATTCTAAAGTGGATGATGAAGTACACCCACGTTGGCCTCTAGCATAAGGTGTGCAGCTGCAAGCCATAGCACCAGCTCCAATCTTTCTCCAATGTTTATGGCCAAGCTCAGGTAGAGTTAATTGCAATAATTCCACCTGGAAATGTGGAAAATAGAGATGATAATGGCTATTTCCTCATAAAAGAAAAAAATCCACAAATCTAGAGTCACTCACTCATTTTGCTTAAACCATCAACCAATTTTAACTTTTGGTCATCAGTGGCCTGGGAAAATTAAATTTAAACCATTAAAAAACCTTGGGATGAAAATCTCCTCATCCCATTACGTCTCACACTTGACATAAAGATCATCTATTGGCAAAAAATTCCCTCTTTTCTCAGCAATACAGCTTTGCCTGTTCCCTCTTATTTGAGGACCTAGCCATTGTAATCTATACTTTCAACATTCCTAGGTTGGACTATTGCAGTTCACTCTACCTGAACTTGGACACAAACACTGGAGAAAGAGGTCACTTGGATAGATCACCATCATCTACTTTAGAACAGGGTTGAAAGTCCTTGAAGAACTGCCTCTGTCACAGAAGCATGAGACTTAGGGAAGAATACAGGTGAGTCATGTGTTCATCTAGATAGAATTCTCTAACCACCTTTGGTCAGACCTTTGGGTGTGTTCTTAAGGATATGATGTCCGGGAAAAAAACAGTATAGACAGGATCAGCCATCAGAGCTTGAATCTCTCTTCTACCCTGCTTGCTGAGGTTCTCACTACCAATTCAGAAGTTTTCAGAGACAAGTGCAACAGAGAATAGATAACCATAAGTTTGAAGGGAGGGCCCATGAGCATTGAAAGAATCAGGATGAGATCCAAAGGAAGAATCAGTTCCTTGATAGGTGGAAAAACTCTTATTAGGCATGTTAGAACCTTTATGATCAATAGGTTTGAAATGATAGATTGACCCTCTACAGATAGATGATGTGCCGAGAATGCTGCCAAGCATATTTTCACTGAGCTCAGTTCACTGTTTCAGTATAGACATATTGATACTGAAACTTCCTGAGATTTCCCCAAGATTGTTGGCGACACCAGAGAGAAAATCTTGTTCTTTTGCGGAAATTTTGAAAAGAGTAACCTTATCTTGAACAGAAAGATTTCTGGAGCCGTGAGAATAACCTCTTTCTCACACCAGTAACAGCTTAGTTCTCACATAGATAAACTAATTCTAAAATCGGTCTTTCTGAGATACGGGCTACTAGAAAGTTCAGCCACAGTTTTATATGATCTATTATTCTGATTAATCTTGATATGTGATTATACTCAGATGGAGAATCCAGTGTACCTATGGCACTAGGGCTGTTACCTACATTTTGATGGTGCTTAGTTGTCGGATTCCAATCAGCCATTCTGGAGAAACTCTAATGTAGCTGATACCACTTTCTGATTATTATATTTGTTATTGCAGTAGCATCTAGCAGTCAGGGCCCCATTGCGCTGAGCACTGTACAAAGAGGCAATCCTTGCCCCAGAAAGATTTCCGTTTGCACTGGAAACATTACTTGACCAAATCAATGAATGAGATTTCCTGGTTGGGTTCTGTCTGGTTACAAAAATGTATCAAGGCTAATGGAAAATTCCAGCTGAATTACACTTCTCTTCCAATGCCCGTACTGTAAACCACAGATGTTCAAGATGAAGGAGTTCCTGATTCAAAAGGTATGTTGTTTTCTGGAGGTGCAATGTGGAATACTTGGTTATCTGTCAAGTCCAAAGTGCCCTCTGGGCCAGGAGAAGACATTCCTTTCCCTCTTTTCTGTACTTTTATGTGAACTCTCTTGAAAGGCAGAAGATTCTTCTCTACCCAGTATATTGTTTCCACTGCTGTTTAAAAGTTTTAACCTCTGGTATGACCCTGAATTTTGGAATGGATATAAAAACTCATGCCTGATGCCTAAATAAATCTATAACAGGAGGTAGGAGGAGACCTGTGAGCACCATAATTACCCCCTTTGTAGTTTTTTGCACCTTCTGCTGAGGTTTGGTTCTGCGTTGGCTACCAGCATTTTGCTCGTACTTAGCTGTCCACAAAGGAGCATTTGGATGTGATCTGGGAATGACACCTAATTTTGCATTGCATCAGGAGTATAGTTCCATGACCTCAGAAGGAATTTCTGCACTGCATTTTGAGAAGCCCACTCAGGCAATGAAGGCAATGCCTGGCACCAGCAATCGTAGCAATTGGAGATAATTAGCTACAGATGACAACTGCTAGGAAATGAATAATACAATGAAGTTCTGGATCTTTGCAAATCTTTCCCATAGTGGCAAAATATGACCAGAGCTATGTCTGTTTTGATTCTGGGGGACAACCATTCTCTGTATTGGGTTCAGAAAGTTCTTGATGTTTGATCAAATGGTGAGCATGAATTCCTTTCAGCAGTTGCCCAGTTATAAATGAATGTGTTTCTCTGAGCAGGGTACTAATTGGCATGTTGTCTGTGCATGGGAATATGTGCTTAACTTGCAACATGAGCAAGTCCTGTGATTACCAGACCTTTCTTAAAACTCTGGGTATGGAGGAGCATCCAACATTTCCAGGTGGTCTTCCAGTCAAATACTAACCAGGATCCCAACCCTGCTTAGCTTCCCACAGCAGACAAGTTCTGGTGCGTTCAGCATGATATGGCTGCAGACACAGAGCAGAAGAAAGCGTCTTGTATTGGAATTGCGAGCAAACATACACACACACTGATTTTGTCTTGGTCATGCTGATACTTTTGTTGACTTGGAGGAAAGTTTATGTAGCTTTCCATGTAAGTCTTTGTTCCAGATTTTGTCCTCCAGGGTTATAGTCCCTTCTTGGACACCCTTGGTGTTGGTAATGACTAACACATTGCTATGCTGGCTTTTATAGTGAGAGTTGAGACAATTTACTATCTCAGCTTACTAGATGTCTGTGGGATCCTGCAAGGTTGCCTGCCCACTCCTCTGGACCAGCTAGCACCCATGTACATACTGTAGGAGCAACCTAGTACCTCTGTGTGCTTTCCTCAGTAATTCAGGAGTCATACTGAGCATGGGAAGGAATTTCTCACTTTTCTCTCTGTAATCTCATGATGGTGTAGCTTCACAGGGAATGGAATCCTCATGTGTTTCATTTCTGGTCTCAGAGATCCTGAAGTGCTCCTTTTGCTCTATGTGAAGCCTGCCTGTGGAGCAGGGGAGGGATGAAGAGAGAAAAAACCCTTCCTACCTTTCAGATTCTGAGCCCCTTTCCTTGGCAGAGCAAGGGTTTACGGTTGATGATCAGATGGTACAGATCCTATTCCACTGTTACCTAATCTGAAATCCCTTTCATTGCAAAGGGAGATACTTGGGTGCAAGCCAGACAGACACAATTCCAATTATTTTGCACCCTGAGTAAGAGCTTCACAGCAGGGGCAGACTTCTCCGCATGCCCAGACATGCAGAAGGTGTGGGAGGGGCTGTGAGCTTGATACAGAGCACTGTGAGAGCTTCTGTGCAGAGAAAACTCCAGGAAACACTCCCTCCAAGAGGGGGAAGGCAGAGAAGGGGTTTAACCTCTGATTTTAACCCCACACGTTCATTAACGATACTAACTGCTGCCTTGAAAAGATGATGCTTTCTTTTAACATTTTGGGACCTGAAGTCTCTGGGATTTGCAAGACTTACCCAAGAGCATCATAAAAATCTCAAATCATCATGTGTGGAAGGGGAACTGGGAAACTGTGTAGCAGCCTGTCTTCCTTCCTCAGAGATGAGGACCCATTCCAGTATCTGGGAGAGGAGGACTTTTTGATCCTTTTGTGTGGTGGGGGGGGATTTTCCCCATCCAGCCTGGGTGTATTGTGGGAATTACCCACTGAGCTGTCTGGATAGCATCTTCCTTGTCCTTAGACTCTTTCCCCAAAAGGCTCAGAAGCTCCTGATAGGGCTTTTTTGCACTGGCATGGTTGCTCCTCAGGGCAGGGTGTGAACTGGGTATGCTGGTCCAACTCTGAGCTCCATACCCTGGCAGCATGCGAGTCAGCTGGCTGTGAACTGACAGGACATAATTCACCCTCTGTTGCCTCACATGTGGAACAAAACTTAGATTTGGCCTGGTGTTTGTGGGACAACTCTACCATTTTTGAGAAGGGGCAGAGAAATCCTGGAGGGGAGGCACTGAAGTGCTTGATCTGGGTGATTGAAACGACTACACTGACACATACCCGATCCAGCGGACGAGGAAAAAATATTATATGATGCTTCTGCAGAAAAATGAATAAAAATAGTGTTATAAAACAAAATTGTCTGGATAAATTGAAATGCCAACTTGTTCCACTGCTGGAGGAAGAAAATCTGGTGGCCTTTGTTGAAAGGCAGACCTTAGTCCTTGAGTCCCTAGCAACCATGCTGGAGTGCCTCCAGATTCCATAGGTGGGGAAGCGGATTCACCATGAGTGAAGAATGAGGAGAGAGGCTCTGCAACAGAAAGTGAATTAAAGGAGCAGGCTTCTCAGCTGGTCTTTTATGGTCTCCTGATACCCAAGAAGTTGTGAAATGTTCCTGCTGATATGGCCAGGTTATCCATAAAGGATGGAGGACAATGAAAGCATTCTATGTAAAAGTACCCAGGAAGCCTGAGAGACCCTGGAGATGAAGTTCTTAATGCAGCATAAGGGTGAATGTGACCCCCCACAAGAAACCACAACTCCTTTGTCTGGAGAACTATTCCAGGCCTGCAAGCCCACCCACATGGCAGAGAGGCTGACCCAAAAGCCCTGAGAAGTGAAATGCAATCAGGAAATGCAGTTATATTTCCCAGGACTGAGGAAGGGCCCCTCAACTTGATCCCTCTAGTACAGAACGTAAGGTGGAAGCACATACAGAAAGTAAAAGTGTGTTGGCACTGAGAAACCTGTGGCAACTCCAAAGAAAGGGTGGTAGATCTTACAGATTGTTGTCACTGGAAAGATTGGAGGTGCCTTTGGTTTGAAAAAAACACAACCAAGGTCTCTGATCTGCTTATGGCAATGTTTTACTTCCTCCTCTGCAATGACACTGAGACCTACTCTCAGTTCCATTTCTTATCCTTATGCTTTAGACATAAGAACAACAGAAGAGCAGAACCAAGGCTTTTATAAACATCAGGTGTCACTGAGATCCTGAGTTTCCAGTAAGGAACCCACTTAGCCAGTGACTTGCCAGTTGCTGAGCCAGTCTCCAGTACTGAAATTATGCTTGAATACTTTCTTGCCCAGGAGGAAGCACCACCAAAGTCCCTCACAGTGAAGGTGCCACTGTCCTGACACACTGAAATGATGAAGCTGGTATACTCTGCAATGGAACAAGTCTGAAACCAAACTCCAAATATTCCTCTCCAATTTGAAACTGAATTAAGGTGCCAATCCCATCATCAAGGACTTGTGTTTCCAAATAGGCAAAATATTGTTTCACAGTGCCTCCCTCTCACCTCCAATCTTCTAAGGAACACTGAAAACATCCATCCTGTGCTGTACTCTTATACACTGATTTTCCAGCAGGTACGTAAGCCCAGGTCTCTCCCTGAATTTGGCTCATTTTCTAAATGAGTGATTTAATAAAAATGTAATATAGATACAACTAAAAAGGTCATATCCTACATTAAAAATAGTTAAATTAAATTACACATTATTCTTTGAGGTGGACCAAACTGCTTTAGATCCAGTTAAGTGTTTTCAAACATTGCAGCTGGTAATGGGTAGTTAGATCAATTTGCTACCAAACTTTTGTTAATATTTTCCTGTAGCATTTGCTGTTATGTTTATTCAGATCATTGTCAGAGATACTGTCAGAAAAAAGGAATAGCTGTGATACCACACCTGAGAAGACTACATTCCAGAAGCACTATTTCTAGTAATTTGGACATATCATAGTGCTTCATTACTTTGTACCCAGTGTTCATGGGTACCTTGCAGGTATGGTACCTGCAAATAGTGAATATTACCATTGTAACAGAACACTCATTTTCAATGACTGTAAAGAATAATCTATAATTTTTTTAAAGTTTTATCATAAAAGATAGTAAGTCTGACATCAGCTTGGGAAACACAATATGTCCCTTTTGATGAACTTTCATATACAGGAAGATGACTGAAAGGATGCTGAAAGTTATGAAAAATCATAACTGATACATTGTAGAAACATGTAAAATGCATTTAAAATTGCTTCTCTCTCTATCGCATTATTGTGATTTAGAGTCCATTATCTGACAATAGCTAGAGCTGGAAACAAGTGCTATATCCCATGGGAAAAATGGAATTTCTAGATTTTTTTTTCCTTTTAATAGCCCTTAACATCTGAGAGATATTAGAGCTTTTACCTATCACTGGTCCAGGATTTAACATTTCTTCAATTTGCAGTTAATATAATCTGAGGCAGAAGTTTCACATTCTAGGGGGTATCATGGTTTGGGGTTCAATCCAGTGGGGTCTTGTGTCCTTTCTTACCCTGTAACCTGAGTGGCTCACAATGCTTTGCTACTATAGCTCCCAGCCCAGAAGGCTCACATTCAGCAACAAGTGATCAGGTCACATCCAAGTGTCTGTGTGCTATGCAGCCACCCCTAGTTCAGCAGCTCTGACCCTAGCAGCCTGTCTACTGCCCTACAGCCCCACCTTGGCTTCCATCAGCCTTAATTACAACCAGCCAGGTGACCCCAACACACTCCCAGTCCTGAATTTTCCCAAAACCACGTGCTTGCAATGCCCAGCCTTTCCCTGGACAGTTCAGAGAAATAATAAGGTTTGCTTGTTCCTTTAAAGAGACAAAAGCACAAAATAGCTTATTAACTTAACTTGGTTAAATACACTTCCTTTTCCTGAAAATAGAGCATTGAGTTGGTTTATAGTAAAAATAAAACAAATTTTATTAACAAGACATAGATTAAATGATGAAAAGTAAAGTGAATAAAATTGGAAAAGGTTACAAGTAAATCAAAGGGAAACATGCATCTAAAAGTCTAAAGCTTAATCTATCAAGGTATAGGCTTTGTTCAGGATGGCTTCTCACCCAGCTTCCTTCTTCCAAGCTATTGCTGACATTTCCTCAGTCAGGACCTTCCACAGAAGTACAAGGCATTGGCTCTCCTTCTCTTTCAAGGTGACAGATCTTTGGCTAAGCAGGTTTCTCTCCTATATTTATATCCCAGAGATTCAACTCTTCCTTGGTTTAAGGACCTATCTTTCTCAGTTTGGGAGAGCTCTGGACCTTGTGTCTGTCTAGTGATGGATGCCAAATATGGCTTCTGTCATTGCTTATATCTTCCAAAGTTCAATTATCTTGTTTCAAAAGGCAGGATGACTTCATGTTGTTTTTCCCTTCCTGTGGGCTTCCCATCTCCCTATATGTAAATGAGGCTTCCATTGTTTTGATTCCACCATGCTTAATTTGCATAGGAAACAGGTAAATAGCTGTGAAATTCCCTCCAGCCTAGGAGAGACCCGTTTCTCCCTTTGTTTGGACACAGACTATGGAGACTAATATCAATATAATTCCTTATATAGTGTTGATACATACATTTTACAATGATATTAATCACCCACTTAAAGCAGGATTAAAATCCCTTGGTTCAACACTTTAATGGCAGAATTTAGTCTTTAAATTTGGCACAATAACTCTTCTGAAGGCAACTGAATGTACTGTGCTTTTTTAAATATATATATATATATATATATATATATATATACACAACAACTTTTGCAGAGGAAACAAAAATATTTTCTTTCTGAAATGCTGCCCTCATGATATTATGGTAGTTTACCTCCTTCTTGTTAAACAATGAGTCACACAAGCTCTAAGCTTCATACACAAATATATTTTCATAGCACAGGTATGTGATTTTCAAATTTTATATTTAAACACAAATCATTCTTCTCTTCATATGTCCTAAGATAACTGATCTCCACAAAGAATAGCTGATGTTACTTCAAAGTTGTGCTGTGGTTTGGTGAACTCCTTCAGGTGTGCACCACTTTCATCAATATGAACATTTGGCTGTAAGTAAAGCTGCAAATATACAGTAAAATGGCAACTGACTTACCTGACTGGCTGTGCAGTTTGACAAGCAGGTCTTGTTATCTGCAGCAAGGTAAAAATTAGTGGGACAGGCACAAGTGTGTGTTTTGCCAGGAGCTAAGAGACACAAGTGACTGCAGCCACCATTATTTATCATACACAAATGTTTAGACACTGTGAATGAAAAAGAAAAAAGAATATTAAAACCTATCAATCAACATGCTGATTCGCAGGGGAAAACCCCCAAACAAATAAAAAACAACACAGGCAACTTTCTTTTCTCTTTAGGGAAGCTTCTAGTAATATAAACCTGTTACCTCACCATACTTTAAATCTCTTTTATGGTAAAAGGGGAAGTAAAATGCACTAGGTACAAATTACATTATTTTTACAATGTCGTAGTTTATAAAAAAAAAGCATTCCTTAAAAACAAAAACAATGAAAAAATCACCTTTTTAGCCATCAGTCTTTCAAATTGTCTTATTAAGGAGCACAAGAATTTTGTATGAGGCAAATTAATTCACTAATAAAAATGAAGATTTGAATGCTGAAACAATGAGAGAAAGCACTAACCTTTTACAATGGTGCTGCTAATTTGCTAATCTAGACCAGCTGCCAAATTTTATTTAACTAGAACTGTAATACACGGACGGTAGAGGATCAGAGAGAGAGAGTTATAATACTGTCCTCCTTCTGTAGGTTTTTTGGGCCAACTATTGTTTAAATAACTCTAGGGCTTGTTAGACACCAGTATTTCTTTAAAATGTTAACTCTCCTGGTTTTGTAATAATAATATTGAAAGCTTTGCTAATACTTTATTTCTCCTGTGCTGGACTGATTTTATCATCTTTGTAACATAATATCATTTTAATAATTCAGTTGATCTAGTCAATAAGCTGTTCTTTAATCATTTCAACTTGATATTTAGTTACTTAAGAAATCTACCAAAACCATTCTACAAATACTTATAATTATTGCATAAAAATGCCCAATCCTAATAAAAAAAAACCCAAACCAGAATAAAAATAAATAAAACATCAGTGAATTCAGAAATTAGATGTTTGTGAAATATGCTGATGTGCTGTCTGAAAAGCATGGATAGAATAATTACCATCAGGTTGTCTATAAGAATGATACACCTGGATATCTGTTATGGCATGCCATGAGTTAATCAGTGATATTCTGTCTGCTCCAGAGGTTTTGTGGGCACGGCTCAGTGACTTGGTTTTCCCATCTGTCCAGTAGATGTAGTCTTCAAACAATGTTAGTGCAATCACCCCTGGAATATCTTGATTTGGGACTGCAATAGGAGATGGTAAGATTAAAGTTCAGTCTTGGAAGACTGCCAGTTAAAATATTCCATACTGTATGGGCTGACAGATACAACCACTATATAACTTCTTGTAAATAACTGCCTTGACAATCTGTCAAGCCTGGAGGGTATTTTACTACCAGTTAAAATAATGCAGGATTGGGTGCAACAGCTCTGCTTGCATATATTTAGTTGGCCCAACCACTGCAAAGAAAATGAACAAATTTCAGTTAACAAATAATTACGTCCAGATTCTAAACAAATTACATGTTAAATTTTAATAAAGTAGTTAGCATATATATTTAAGTTAATTTACTCTGCTAAAGGTCATTATTTTGATTTTAAGGGACTACAACTTATTAAACCATAACCAAGATGCACCTTTAGATGTACTGTATTTTAACACCATTAAAAGCTATTCAAGTCACTTCTTTATGGTGACATATTACAGCTCACAAGATAAACTAAAAAACAGCTTTTCTGCTAACAGAAATGCAACAATGGTTAAAGGCTTACTGCTGTATATATTTACTTTTTAATACCAACAATACATATCACAGGTGAAAATAGACAATAACTTTTATTCTAACTCCTAGAATAGAAATCCTAACTGGGTTAGGGATTCTCAGTTTTTCATGTGAAAAATCTACATCATTCAGAGCAAATGAATTGTTAAAGTACATTATGTAGTGATACCACTGTTACAGTGCAGAAATACGTTTTTCTTATACTTTATAAGATTTAAGTATAACTTCAGTAGTATGTTACTCCATGAGTTCTCTCATTGAAACCACTGGAAGCACTTGTGGCGTAGCATACTATGAACACCCAGAAGGACAGCAGAATATGGCCCACATTGTTCTGAACGAGCTTAACAAACACTGAACAAGCATTGTTAACATTCACTTTTGTAAAATTGAACAAACCCAGGTTGTTCAGGTAAATATGCATTTTTTATAGATTTACTTACTTGCCTACTGTAGCTTAAAAAAAGAAAAATCAATCTGTTTAAAAAACCTTATGACAAAACATCCCGAGCTTTGAAGAAATAGTCCTGTAATGATACCATGAGATTTAAAAACTTCTGGAAAAATTATAAAACATGTAATTATGATGAGGAAATGGCAGACAGATGTTGTTATGTTTGAGGTTATTTTGAAAGGACAGTACTGAATGCATGAATCTGACCAACTGTCCTGAACTAGATGGTCAAAAAGGAAATTAGCAGTATGAAATGGATATTTTCAAGTTACTTAAAACTACTGTTGTACAGTAAAACCTGGAGACAGGTGATATTTTTTTTCTTAGAAACTGCATGCACCTGGTATGCATAGTTGACAAGTTGGCCCAATTACAAGAAAACTGTAAAAAAATAACATCAAGTGTCACCCACAGGTATTCAGTTGATGAATAAACCTTGAAAAAAAATAGAAACATTGTGTGGGCTGAAGTTTAACAGGTGCTTATTATACATTTCAAAGTCAATTCCAAAACTTTCAACATTGCCTAGAACTCCTCCAATAATATTTTTTTGCATGTTAGCATTGGTTCAGATGGAAATAAAACATACACACATAGAGCACCTACACATTCCTACTGTATGATTTGTTTTTCTTAAACTTTTGAGTTGTATTCAGTCAGAAGATTTATGTTATGGCACTTAGAATTGGTGTTAAAATGCAGGTTTAGGTGGTGGGGAATTTTCATCTGAACTCATCAGAACCCTTGTGCCACATATATAATAGAAGCTGGTATTCACTTTATATACTACCATTTAATATATTCATGAGCATAACATCAAATTCCACCATGCCTTGTACAAGCATTGTTATGTCATTCATTCTGCAGTGAATAAGTATATCTTCCAGTTGCTCAAAACATTTTTTATGCTAACCCTAGTGTGTCTTGTTTGGCAGATATGGCATGTAAAACACTATTATTCATAACTGTCAAGTCAACTGATGGATGCTTTTGTTTGGAATTAGGAGTCTTTCTACAAAATGCCATATAAATCTTTAAGGGTCATTTTTAATATTTAGAAATTGTATCTGACATGGCTTTCACTACTTTTTCCCTTAGCAATGTTTGTTGTGGTACAATTTTAAAAAGCTGTAATAATCTTTTGAACCGGAGATTCTTTCCCGCTTGTCTGCTCTATGTATGGTATGTAAGTACTGACAACAATAAAGCATCACTAAAATAGTGAATGTATTTGCATTGCAGAAGGTGAAATAAATTAGAATTCTAACTTGGGGTATTTCACTTACAGCTATTAAAAGTATGAGTTACCATTAACATAAAATTTATTTCCCAAAAAGGAATTCATTTAAAAATACAAAAGTAACAATAATTTAGTTAAAATGGAAAATGTGTTACCGAGTTTTCTGGGGCTGACCTGTCTCCTAGTATGAGAATTGGAATTTGTGCCCCTCTTTCTGGAAATATCAGAGGACATTCAGACTTATCCCTGGGGCTTCTTTCATGGCTTAACCAAGCCCTTTCCAAAGTACCTTCCAGTTACTAAACCTGAGATTTTCAAAGTCATTCTTAGAAAGTTTGAACACGCAGTTCCCATTAATTTTAATGAGAATTAGAAGTTCAAATTCTTTATGTAACCTTGAAAATCTCAGCATAAATATTTATTAGTTGACTAAATATAAATATCTTACCTTACTTCACTGTTAACTACAAGCATGAGCACTAAAGAAATGATTGTAAAAATGCCCAATGGACTTAGTTTGAACGGGAAGAATTAGGGGGAGGTCAATCTGTGAAGGAAATCATGATGTAACAAATGTTCTATTCTGGATTCTGACATCTTCCTGAGTCTGAGACATCTTAGTTATAGCAAGAAATAAGAAAAATAGTGAAAAGTGTGGGAGAAGGGTGAACAAAGAATGTTTCTTCTTCGCTAAAGTTAGTATCTCAATCTATTTGGTCATCACTTCTTGGAGCGCCTTTCTGCCAAAGAATGCTTCTGCAGAGTATAAGTCAGGCCTGTAGATCTTTACAAAATGTTGATTCATGACAAGATGACAATTTTCCATTTGTTTTGTGGTGGCTGATTCACTTTCTGCCCAGGATGCTACTACAGACTGTGTTGACCAAAATAAGTCTCTTAAGCTGAATATCTTTCAGTGATACAGCATTTGATTCGTTTTTTTACATAGAGGATTTGAATGCCCTCAGGCAAAGATATTTAGGGTGGAAGGCAATAAATAAAGGTTTTCTTAAACATGCATGTACTCTGTGCCTCCTCATACTCTCATGTGAGGGTGTAAAAGACAGGGCAGCTGCGACCCTTCCTCAGCTCCTTTATAGTTCAAAGCCAATGCTGTTGAGGACTCAGAAATGTGGGGACAGATCATGGAAACCACACAGATCACAACATCTCAAAGAGTCACAGTGACTGTATGGTAGTTAATTGTTCTTTCTTCTTCAAGTATATATCAGGATGGGTCCCACTGTCATGACTGGGAAGCAGTATCTTCCCGGAACAGCTGGAGTGAGGAATTTCAGCTGTATTTGTCAAACAGAGATTGAAGTACTGTTGTCCCGAAATTGGTATCTGACTTAGTTGCCATGTCAAGTGCATAATGTTTAATTGAGTTTGTGGGTTGCTCCGTGTAGCTGTCTTGCAATTCTCGGAAAGAGACACATTTCTGAAGTAGGCAGATGATTCCACCTGTTCACTTGTGCAGTGTACCTTGACATTCAGAGGCAGAGGCTTGCCAGCCAGTTGATAGCAGCTGGAAATACACTGTGAAACCCACATTGAAATTCTCTGTGATGAGTTAGCTTAGTTTTTCAGTGCACTGGATATGGCCACAACAAGGCTTGAAAGGCTGCTGACGTAATAGAGCAAGGCTTTGTAGATGTCCGAAATATGCAGCTGCAACTTCTTCTCTTCCAGCATCAAGTACAAGGTTTGGGGAAAGATTTTCATCACCACCTTGTCCCTGTGGAAGGATGCGGAAGGCAGCCTGTCCATAAGAGAGAGGATCTTACTGATTCTGCATTCTGAGATAAAAGCCATGAGAAAGACTATCTTGATAGTAAGGTGATGTCAACAAGAAGCTCCATAAGTTTTAGAAGAACAATATTGAGTGGTAGTCAGGTCCCCCTTATACTGGAGGTCAAATATACAGAAGGCCTTGAGGAATTTCAATGCCACAGGATGTGAGAAGACCAGGTATAACTGTACTGGGGCATGGCATGCAAATATTGAAGCAAGGTGAATCTTAGCTGAGTTAAATGGTAACATTGTGTGTTTCAGGATTATATATAGACCAACATCTTCAGTATCAGGGCCTCCACTGGCTCACTATTATTTTGAATTGCCCTTATGGAAAATCTTTTCCATTTCAAGGAACATGTCTTCCTAGTGAAATGTTTCCTGTTTACAGATTTTTAGAACTTGTAGGGAACAGACTCCATCAGTCAGTGCTCAGCCAACCAACATCTAAGCCACAGATGCAACAACTGTGAGTCTGAGTGCAGTATCTTTGTGATTCTGGGATATTATGTCTGGAAAGGATAGAAGATTTATGCGAGGCTGCTTGGACAACTAACAAGTCCGACAGTCAAAATTGTCTTGGTCAGTGTGGAGCTATCATGATGACTGAAGCCCTGTCTAGTTCGATCTTGGATGTTTTTTGTGGGGACCAGGAGAATTAGAGGGAAAGCATATAGCAGTCCATGAGACTATAGACGGAGGGAAGACATCCTCAGAGAGCCTGGGTTCATGTCTCCCCTGAAGCAGTACTTAGTATTATCTTCTGTGGTGAACAAGTCTGTGATGAGAGTTCCGCAGTGATGGAACGCTGGTTTTGGAGGGTTATCCACAGCAACTACTTATGGTGGTTATCACACTTCAGGAAGTCTGCTGGGTCATTGCTGACTCCTGGAAGGTGTAGAACCATGCTGATACAATGGAACTCGATGGTTTATTGGTAAAGAGGGGACTGAGCCACTCATTATTTTAGTGC